ACTGATTGGGAGCTATCCCTTTTATAGCTGGCAAACAATTCAACTTCACTAAGGTCTCCCCATTTTGTTTTGGTAATAACTAGTATTGTGGCTGTAAGCCAGGAACTCCAAAGCAAAAGCAGAAGCCTATATCTTGAATTAAAAGGTTGTCTCCTAGCTGGCAGCTACAGAAAAGCTGTATCCTCTGTGGATCAGCCACACAGCAGGCAGCCTATCACACTTTGAGTTACTCTTGCACTAAACCCAATATTGTAATCTCTACCCCTTGCCATGATAAAATGTCAATGAAATGTACAGCTGGCAACATGACAGCTATATGGAAAGTTGATCTACACAGGTCTGGTCAATGACATCAGGTTATCATAAGCAAGGCTTTCACATGGCAGTGATGCATTGCCCTCTGATACAGGATGCTAACTCATTAGGCTATGAAAAGAATAATCTTATACCCTCACCCACCCTAAAATGAGTCAACAGTATAGGTAGGTCAAGCAGCTGAGTCTCTTTCAGGAAGAATGTACTGAACAGTTATGTAATATTTCAAGCATTCCCACAGGACTTCTGCATCCAACTCACCTCTTTTCATTCCAGAAAAGTAAAACCCCAGCTGAAAGCATTCTAACCTCCTTACTTAAACAAACATAGAAATAATAAGAATTGTATTAAAACTTTCTAAAATAAAAAATCCCCAAAGATGCATCTTTCTGACATCCTGGACAATATACTCATAAATGAGTTCCACTCTTCTCCTTCTAGTTCCAACAACACCCAAAACAAATGCTAACCTGTAGGGGCGTGCAAAGCTTCAGTCACCGAGTCGATTTAGTGGAGATTTGGCCCAATTTGGCAACCGAATCTCTGAATCTGAATAGAATCAGGAGACCCTTTAATCTCTCCGAATTGAATCGGAACCCTTCGAATCAATTCAGAGAGATTCGATGATTTGGACACAGACACAGCTTTAAATGTTTTTTCTACATACCTCAAGGTACCAGGTGGCTCATGAATGCTGAAATGGTGAGGCAGATGGAGCGTCCCACAGGAGCACAGAGTGGTCCACAACCTGCTTGGCAGCAGATCCAGGAGTGGACCAGAAGCGCTTCCAGTTCACTTCCAGATCGGCCACAGAGCACACAGGGGACCCTCCCACTGTCCCCCGGCTCAGTGACTGATGCCTCCTGGGTCTGGGGGCACACGCGGAGTTCCCCTGTAGCCAACTGCCAAGCCAGGGGAGTGGGGGTGGGGGGCTATCCCCTGTGTGCTTGGCAGTGGACACAGAAGTGGAGCAGAGTTACTTGCAGTCCACTTCTGTGGCCACTAAGCATGTGGGCCCCCCCAACCCCCAACGCTCCAGTGGGACACTCTAGCCACTCCACCACTGCAGTGTTCACGAGCTGCGCCTGGTACCTCGAGGTATGTACAAAAAACATTTAAATCTGCCTCTATGGCAAATCAGCATCAAATCTTCAGATCTGGATTCGGCCGAATTAAATAGAGACAGTAATCCAATCAATTAATTAAATCACTGTTCCCCGATTTCAGCCAAATCTGAATCAAATATGGCCCATTTTGCACACTCCTACTAACCTGACTCAGCTCTCCAACTACTGGACCACACTTTTTACCATTATAAAGTAAATTATAAGGATCATCAGAGCTTTCTTTTGGAGGCAATTATTTATACTGTGACAGCATCTGGCACCTAATGTTTAACCAACTTCTTTGACTAGCAGACCAAGTCTGAGTGAAAATAGTATTGTATGGCAGGACCACATTTTTCCTTGTGCAGCCAATGCAAATAGGAAAGGTTGTATAGACAGAATTAAAGACACAAAAATGAAACTAAAGCAGCTGTAAGTAATTTGAAGAGAAGCATGCGAAAGAACTTTGCAAACTTCCTTTTGCAAAGACAGTCAAAATCCTCAGAGAAATGTCCAAGTTCTGAGATAACTAATGAAGTCAAAAGCTATGAAGCAGGCATAGGTTTCTGACTTACATTTTGCATTGTTGATAAAAGTTGAAAGTACCTACCAGGCAAGTCTGTTTACCAAGTGGCTAGATAATTTTAAAATGTATTATATTCTCCCCAACACTTAGAGCTGAAACCAGAGTCAGCTGACTGAGTTGTACAACCACATGAGTCCTTTAAGGAAGTTCTACAAAAACCTTCCCTTGAATGTGGGAATCAAACAAAATACAACAAAGAATTATTCAAAGCTCGGGGCACCAGGGATCATCCCCTCTTCTTCTATCACATGGCAGTGCCCAGTACGATCCCTGCTGAGGAATAAGCATGTGATTTTTACTGTGCTTGCCAGCTACCCTGACACCAGGCTATATTCTCATGCCAGTGATGATGATAAGATTTTCTATCGACTTCAGTGGGACCAAATTTAATCAGTTTACTGTGATATGAACGACTGGTGCCTCCCAAGACTTGTGGGGGGGAGGGCGCACCATGGCAGTGAGCAGGGACCGCCTATAGCCACCAGCACTGGTGGTGATGAGCAGGGACCAGCCGCAGATGCCACTGGCCACGTAGTGGGGGGGGAGGCAGGTGGCAAGCGGCAACCACCAGCGGAAGTTGGCAGCGGCCAATATCGGGGGGGGAGGGGCACGTGCCCCCCCATACGCCTCCTACGCATCACACGTCATATACATACCTACAACGTGTAAACCTTACACATCTATTAGGTTAGGCTGGTGGCCAACCAAGTAACAAACAGCCTCTTTTCTAATAAAAGGAGGCAAAAGAAACAACACCTGTTCTCCCCAGGTTTGAACAGATCCCCTAGAGTGGCTAGCATCCATAGCACAGGAAATTGCACTTTCCAGTGATGCTTGCTCCACCGAAATGAAATATGATCTCATGATTATGGTGCTGGATTGGACTCGGGAGTTCTACAGTCAGTCCCTGATTCAAACACAAGCTTTCCATGTGACCCTGAAAAAGCAATAGTCTCTCTGAGCTTCAGTTCTTCATCTGTAAATTGGAAATAACATTTCTTGCATATACCCTGTCTGCTTGGATTGTAAATTTGCTGGGACAATGACTAGTCCTAAGTATTTGTACAGCACCAGGCACAGCATTGTCTTAGGTACAGCCTTTAGATGCTACTATCATAAATATCATTTACACACAGCCATCTAAAAGACCTGCCATATATGGCCCCAAGTCGGAGAGAAATCCTAACTCCTAGAAATGCTCAGCACAGAATTGGATCCTAGCAGGATATTCAGCAAACAATTCTAAAGATATTACCACTTTCTCAATGGAAAGTTTTGGTCACCAGCAGATCTCTTGTTAACAGTCCCTTTAACATATGCAGGTAATTAGCATCACACTACAAAATACAAAAACAGCTGTGGATGGTTAATGATTCCTTACTAGAAACACCAAAAACTTAAAAGGTCCAAAGATCAGATATCTGTTTTTAAATAGTAATTTTCTCATTTAAAAGTTAAGCTAATTTAAGTGTAACTTCCAAATAAAAACAGTGTGAATAACACAAGCATACTATCTATAGCTACTAAATCAAATGGTAAGACCTTGTACATTGTAATGAATGAAGAGGTAAGATATATTTTCATTACAGAGGTATAAGAAACAGAAAAAACACAGTACAGTCTGACCAGTAAACAATCTGACCAAGTTATATATAGTACTGGATCAACAAATTACTGTGTTTTTTTTCCCCAAATACTCATGACCATTTGTCATATCGACAGGCCCATGTCACAAATACCCTTGACAACTCCTGACGGGGGTGGAAATCAACCATGTAGGAATCTTTGATAAAAGATTCTTTTCTTCCTCTTCTGTGTTTTCAGGTAAATTTGGTAGACTACAGATCAGGCTCTTAGAGCATACTTTTCAGAAGGTGACCACTTGCAAAGCTACAGCCAGATTTTTCAAAACAGTTCAGCTCTAATTTAAGCCAATCCTGGGGCAATTTCAATTGCCAGATTTTTCAGCATCCAGGTTTGAGAGCAGAATATAAGCAAGAACTGCCATACTGGATCCAGTATAGACACCAGATCCTCTGCTCTGTTTTCTTTCCTCCAAGACTGATGATGACTACATGCTTCAGGGAAAGATACATGAAGCCCCCTAACAGAACTGTTCTGAAATAATCTGCCTCTTCAGGGCATAGTGTCCCATACTAATCTCACAGATAGGCATAAGCAAAGTTATATCCCTTCCAAAGCTTGTCTTGAGTGTTTGCTATTATGTTTCTAGCCATGTAAATGTTCAACCCCCATTCCTGAATCTTAGTAAATGTTTAGGTCCAAAGCACTTTTGAAAAATGATCTCCAGGTGACATGTCCCAACAGAAATAAGGGCCCTTTCTACAAAGGCCCCTGCATGAAATTAGCTTTAAGATAGAGCAGTAGGGCTTAGCTTCCAGTCTGGGAGCCACATCAGGCCTGCAGGGCTCCCCACGGGTCTAGAAATCTGACGGCAGGGGAGTGGTGACAGCATTAATTGCCACAGCTCCCAGAACTGAATGAAACAGCCCTGTGCCAGATTGCACCAGAACGGCACATGGGGCCACTTCATGGCCAGATCCAACATGCAGGGGTTGGGCGGGCACATTGCATCACACCCACAGACTGACCCCAAGCTGGATCTAGCCTGTGGGATCCAGCCTGCAAACTGGCTCCATGCCACTCATCCAGCCCACTAGGCCAAAAGTTTGAGCAGAACTGAGCTAGATTTTTCAAAGAAACTTCAGAGTCAACTGCCATACTCATCTTGAGTTTCAAACCCCATTGGATGTGCTGAAAATTCCAATTTATTTCATTCATAAATCTCTACGACCTAAACCTAAACCACTTAAGTGTTTTGCACAAGTCAGTGGCAAAATGCAATATAAATCATTTAAAAAGGAACCTTATATTTATTGGGAAAAAACCATTTTTGTTCTTTAAGGAGATAATCACTTCTACACACTTAACTGCCTGCAATAATCCCAAGGTTGATGCATGCTGCTTCTTACCTGAGAAGGATATGGTGGTGGCAAGAATTTGAATAAACTTATTCTTCTGAATGGAGAAAAACACAAAAGGTCCTATCAGGAAAACAAAGCCAGCCTGTCAAGGGGGGGAAAAAAGGGAGGGAAGGAAAACAAAATATGACAGCTGATAGCTGGATCTTTTCATACAAATGTTTCTACACTTTAAGAAGTTCCAGAAAACGTCACCAAATGCCTCACCAGAAAAATCCTGTAAGCATTACTCTTGCTGATGGGCCCCCAGCAGCGGTTTTCATCCAAGTAGATAACTGTGTAATTGCTCTCTCCTGTGCACCTCGGGATATTGCTGAAAAGGGCAAAAGATACAAAGTCCCGTCTTTGCAGTAGCAGGGAAGTGTTAAAGGCTTTCTGGTCTACGTTGTATGAAACCAGATCTGGAGCTCTACCAGCTGGCACTGTTCACGTACCGACATGATCCTGAACGTCACTTCTCACCACCATCAGTGACTCCTTTCTAGAGCGAATAATTATTTCTTATTTGTTCTGTACCAACAATATGCAGTGCTTTCCTCCTACTCCCCCCACCTTCTCTCCTATTAAATCAACAAGTGTTCCAAGAGCTCCTACAGCTGTACGTATCCTTTGTCTCTGGAGGCAGCTTTACAGACTCTCCAGTTCCATCCTGTACATGGATATAATAACCCACTTGTGAGTTTACACATTTCGCCAAGCTCATTGTGGCAGAAACACTCCTTAAAGGGTCAAAGAATCTCAGAAGGGTCCTTGAAAGGAAATGCACCATGAAACCAAGGACTGTACACCTTGGTTAACATATTAACCCTGCAAAAGGCAAGACAGCTGTGACAAGGAGTGGATTGTTCATCTCCTGGCCCTCCTGTTCTCTTTAGGAGTGCTGACTAGCACCACCAAACATTAAGCCCTAATGTGAGAGGAGCTGTACAAGAACAGCTCGTGAACTGAAGAAGTCACACAGGGATTGAAAGGAAAAGAACTGGGATAAATCAGAGAAGCAAACCAGTCACAGGCTGGGAAGCATATGGATTTTTAGATCATTTTTGCTTCACCCTAATATAATCAACGCACATGAAAGAGAAACCAAAAGGAACAAGTAAAATAGCTATAATATATAATATAATAATTAGTATATGATAAAACCTTTTTGGTTTTAAATAAACTCCTGCCAATTGACATTATAGCCCCTCACTCAACTCAGATTAAATGGCTGATTTGAGTTTTAAAAAAACCATGAGTCTCAAAGGAAGAAATGAGTATGGCCTTATGGAGCTGCTTCACAACTGCAGAGCAATACAAGCAAGAAACACTGACTGCCTTTATTTGAAAAGAGAGAGGCCAGACTACAGGCCTTCGGTTTTGCAAGGTTATAGCCATTGGAAATTTGTTCACAGAATTTAACTGAAACTACTACTCTATATTCATAGGATCTGGCAGGAAAACTAGCTAAGAAATATACTCAGACACCCAGAGAAGTCTGTCAGAAATATACATGTGCAAAGGAAGAAGCAGCGCATGAAGCAGGAAGAGATCTGCAATGCTTAATGAATGTAACACACACTTCTTTATCAACATACAGTATACACAGGTATGCAGGGCCAGAATCACAGCAGGTGTCAACTGCCATATCTCTATGAGAGCCAGTGGGACTCTAATACAGAACCCACCTGAAAACACCTGTGATACTGTTTACTGGAAAAAGCAACACTACATCTGCCATACTAACTGACACCTGAGCTGAGCCAGATCTCCCTGGCTCTTCACTACTGCCTTCCACTGAGTTCAGGGTTCGGACAAAAACTAGAATTCACAGCTATGATCCTCTCCCATTACCCCAACAACTATTACACCGCTTCATTCCCTGCACTTCTGGCTTTTATTGGATGGCAACAGCCAATGTTGCAGAGAGAAGTGTCATTTAGCACTAATGTGCAATAGGAGGAAAAATACGTAAATAGCACAGCGGCTGCTGCATGCAAAGTGCTCATTTCCCCCTTCTCCCCATTCACCTTCCCTGCACTCCTTCTGAATCCACCCAGCAAAGAAAGCCCAGGTGGTGGCCTGGGCATATGCAGTTATGAAAGCACAGAGCTTTAATTTATTTTCCAATTTGTACTGGAGTACTGTGTCCAGTTTTGGGCTCCACAATTCAAAAAGGATGTGGAGAAGCTTGAGAGAATCCAAAGAAGAGCCACATGCATGATCAGAGGTCAGGGAAACAGACTTTATGACAACAGGCTGAGAGCCATGGGACTCTTCAGCCTGGAAAAGCGCAGGCTCAGAGGCGATCTGATGGTCACCTATAAGTTTATCAGGGTGTTCACCAGGATCTGGGGGAACGATTGTTTGCCAGAGCCCCCCAAGGGATGACCAGGTTGAACAGTTACAAACTCCTGTAAAACCGTTTCAGGCTGGACATAAGGAAAAATGTCTTTACTGTCCGAGCCCCCAAGGTCTGGAATAGCCTGCCATCACAGGTGGTTCAAGCACCTACTCTGAATGCCTTCAAGAGAAATTTGGATGCTTATTGTGCTGGGATCCTATGACCCCAGGTGACTTCCTGCCCCTGGGGCTGGGGGCTGGACTCGATGATCTTCCGAGGTCCCTTCCAGCCCTAACGTCTATGAAATCTATGAAATTTGCTCTCTATGGGTGCATCCAGATGGGTGCGCAATGTGCAGTTTTCAGTGCCATAGAAGCAGGAGTTCGCCACACTGCTAATCTGCAGTGCAGCGAGGGGACCGGGGGTTGACACAGGGACATCTTGATGTCAAAAAAATCCATATTAGAAAAAAGCAGGGCAGCATACATGACAGGAGTGTGTACCACCCAAAACTAGAGCCTGGCTAGCCAGAGCCACGCTCCAGCCAGGCTCCACACACCTGGATTGACATTGCTGGAGCCCCAGGAAGCCCCCAGGACCCCAGGTAAGGCTGCTGGGGCCAGCCCAGGTGCTGGCCCCAGCCTCCCCTACCCCAACCAGGGCAACTTGTCATGTGCCAGAGCATACGTGCAGGGATGTTCCCTAGAGACAAATGTGCCACTGCTATTTGTTCACAGGAAATGCACATTCCTACTCCCAGGGATGTGCCCCGTGTGTTATACGTAGTGCTGAAATTCTGAAGCAGTGTGAAATGCTGATCTCATCTCTCCCATTTAAGCCATTGAAAAGGTTTGGTCCCAGGATATGCAGTATTTAAAAATAAATCTCGGTTGCCTAAACCAGAGGATTAACTCCCTTAACTGGAAGCTATAGCTAACTCACTGACTTCTTTGCTGGTCTGGCCACTAAAAAGGAAACAAAGGCCTCTCTCATTGTGGATTTGGCATGTGCATGTACTAACAACCAAAATATACTTCAAGCTTTTATTATTTCATACTGAGGTCTTAACTCTACCATAACTATAGAATTGCATGTACATGTCCATGGCTACTAAACTGCTGTGCTTGACCTAATTTTAAGGAGAAATGAAACAGATCTAGATTTTGCTTTCTGATAAGCATATTCTCTCAGTCACAAGCTTTTGCCTGTTTGGGTACACTGAAGTACTGCTGCTTAATGCAGTGCTCTACTATTTTAAAGACTGCATTAAAAAAAAAAAAAAATCTAAATCTAAGCAATTTCTTCTCTGTTACAATCCCCAGTAAGTCATGCACTAATAATTTCCATTGTCATGGAGAGATACCACTCAGTTCAGTGAAGACAGTGGATATGCATTCCTACATGGATTC